AGAGAGAGAGAGAGAGAGAGAGAGAGAGAGAGAGAGAGAGAGAGAGAGAGAGAGAGAGAGAGAATCGCATATAATTCACACCATAAGACTACGACATACAACTTCGGTAAGCAAAAGTGAGAGAGAAAGACAGACAGAAAGAGAGACAGACACAGAGACAGTCAGAGAGAGAGAAACACACAGACATATAGACAGACGGCAGACAGACAGAGATCCGGTTAGTTGAAGCGGCATCAACCTCACTTTTCTTTTTTTCGACATCGTCCTCGATGACGGTCCTCCTCGACCACGTGTCCCGCTCTTCATACTTTTGGACCCCGTCACGCGTCCCGATGCCATGCTTTCCCACGCTTCAAGCGGCCTCGGCGCGTTATCCACGTGGCGCTTTGGCGCGCTCTTTCGCGGATCCTGAAGGCCCGAGCGCACTCTACCGCTACTAAGCGCGCAATACGACGATGATCGCGGCTGTGCGCTTCCGACGAAGCCGCGATCGCCCGGGCAACCCACAGCGAAACCACTCCTCACACTCGACCGACCGACAACCGATATCGCTCTTCTAGAGACGACCAACGTTGATATCGCCGGGAGGCGTGGTCGTTCGCCCGCCCCCGCACGCGCACACGCGGCCCTCGAAAATTCCGCCGGCCATTGCGCCAAGTTGTACTGTGCGGCAGGACGCGCGGCGCACAGATGTGCGCATCGGGCATTCCGTTGCCGCCCATCGGCCGACGAGGAACTCCCTGTACGTGGAGGGCATGCAGATGCTCTAACCGAAGCTTGTGCGGCAATCGACGTCGCCATCAGCGCGGCACAATTTGAGACTCTCAGTTCTCAAACGACGAGAGAGAGAGGAGCTGAACGCTGTCGCTGCAGTGTCGCACATCACTGTCACTGTCACAGTTGCGAACCGTTTGCCAGACAAGACTGTGACTGATTTCACATGTTCCAATGAATACTGGCGCTTATCCGGTGAGGTTCGAGTTCCGACCGCGCTAAATTTTTTGCGAGTTGCGTTGCGGAGCGGGTAAATTTGCGGAGAGACACGGCGGAAATGCGTCGTGGAAAAAGAAGACGACAAAAAGGAGCCCAAGGACAAGCTTTCGACAACTCGATGGTGGGAGGGGGAGTCCTTTCAGCTTCGAGAACCCCTCAAAACTCGACTAAGGGCATCGCCACGCCACCAGTGTCGAAAACTGGGTACTTTTTCGACATTTGTGTGTGTGAGGCAGAGTGACAGTGACTGGCCCATGGCCCATCGAAGAGGGCCATTTCTCCCTGATGCTACCGGCCGACCCTCGGCCGGTATCGCCCACCTGCTGTAGCAGGTATCGCACCTGCTGATGGGTGCAGCTCCAGCAAGTTCCGTCGTGGAGGCTTGAGCACGGATGTGGCTGCCTGACCAGGTGTCGAGTTTTTTTTGCCCGGAATGTGTCAGACTGAGTGCAGAGTTTTCGACAAGGGCCATTTCCAACTCGAAACCGCCTGCGCCTGCGGCAGGCCGAAACTCGAAACCACAAAAGGGAGCTTGTGAAAAAATGTGCGGATTTCCATTGCGACGTCTTTCAGGACACAACATCAACATCTCGTGTCTTCTTCTTCTTCTTTTCCCCCCCCCTTTATCCTGGGTCTTCAACATACGGTGTGGCGAAGGTGGCCATTGTGTCCAAACCATGAATGTCGATAATGGTTTGACAGTTTCAATTTTTTCACGGTTTCGACATTGGTGTGGCGAGGCCCTAAACCTCCCCCCTGCTTCTTCTTTTATATATATATAATTCAAATCACATTCAATTCGGTATCTGACAGCATGAGGAGGCCGGGGTATCTGTCAGCATCAGCCAGCTTAGCTTACAGGCAATTGCCTCGTCACTCACGAGTTCTACTTCTGTTCTATGCTGAGCTGAGAACTAACTAAGGGCCTCGCCACACCGCTCTCGAAATGTGAAAAAGACAAAAATGTGGCGGGTGCATCTGGCTAGATGGGAAGTTCATTGCGCATCTGGAGAGTAGTGTGGCTATGCCCTAGCAAACCTTACCTGAGTTGATGTAGGAAGTGATAAAAAAATGGAACTTGGTGACATATTCGGTTGAAGAGGTCTCTCGACTAACTAAGGGCCTCTCCACACATTGGAATCTATCAAAAATTTTGTGATATTTGCCCCATCGAATGTCAGCTTCTTTTTGGCATCAGCCAGGCACCCCTGATTTTTATTTAGCGTACACGTGAGGGAAGACACCATCTTTATAAGTCCCCCTTCGGTTCCTCCCGCTCCACCGACGGTGTCGAAACCTTGTTCTTCCTTACCAACTTCCACCCCTTCTCCAGCCTTCGCCGTCCCTTCCGGGTCGAACAAGCCTAGCACCCTCTCTCTCAAGCTCCAAAGTCCCTCGCATCCTCTTGGGATTACGGGTGAGGCTACTGGTCGGTTTGTCCCACTGTCTATAGTAGGTGGGTTGGTGGTTTTTTCCGCCTCCCTTTCCCTTTCTCTCTTTCTCTTTCTTAGCCGGCGTCTCTCTGCGCTCCCTAGTCCTATTTGTCTTTGTATATCATCATCTCGTTTACGTGTTGCTCCTCGCGCGGCCTTTCTTCGGCGAAGTCCCCCTTGCTTTTATTCACCATCTCTTCCATCAACTTTGCCTTGTATTCAACCGTCCTTTCTATACCGACTGAGTTCTTCCGAGGGTCCGTTAACCTTACCTTTTCCGATAGTGCGCCTTCCGATGCTCGTGGCGCCGGGATGCCTTTATCCCTATCTCCCCCAGTTTCTTGGGTCCCTTGTTTGCTTCCTCCGGCTTTTCCTGACTTTTCCCCAGTCGCAATTTTTTTTCTTCCTTCCTTAGTACCTTCCAATTTTGTCAATTATCGGTCCCTCACGGTCCCCTCGTTCTGTTCTACATCCTTTTCTATGCTTCGATTTCCCTTGCTTCGTAGGCTCCCCGTTCCTTCCTCGGACGCCATCTTTTTCTACCCCTGCACACAGGAAAAACAAATTTGGTGGAAGACTTCCCAAAGTTCTTAGGATCCTAGGTCCTAAGGCTTACTGTCGGTTTCATGATCTCTCTATCCTTGCCATTTAATATTTCTATTTTTATAGTGTTCATAACGGTCTGCCCCCCCCCTTCTTGGTTTGCGGGGTATCGCTTGCCTTTCCCGTTGGAAAGCCTGCTACTTCGGGTTGGCGTTCCGACACCACCTCCCATCGGATCTAACTTAAAGGCGGCATGTCCATGGCGGAGTGGGTCCCTTCTTTGGGGACGACCTTTTTCTTTCCTGCCTTTGGATATTTCTAGCGCCCTTGATGGTAGCAACCATCCTGGTCCTGTCCCGATCCATCCTTAGATAGAGTAGGACTCCAGCCACTATCTCCGGCAGATCATTACTTTCACTTTTATTTAGCAGTTCATTGCTAATCATTTCTCACTAGGCCACCTTCCCGACATTTTCTCAAACCGGTTCCTCAGGCTCATCCTGTTCGATGGGCTCTTCGAACAGTTTAGCCACCCCCGCAAAATAGTTCCCCCCCATTCCTATTTCCCTAATAATTATTGACTCATATTCTTCATAGGTCAGTCGTGGCGTCCCAAATATCATGATGTCGATGAGTTCTAGCAATTTCCAGACCCGATTTCCCCAAAAAGGTCCGTGTTTTACCTACACATCGTAAAACATTCCCGTTGTTTGTGGCTAGAAATTGTGCGCTTGGATTAAGGTCGCATTCACCAGATCTCTTGCCCTCGGGAGGCTGCCGAATACCAAGTTTATCATGAAACGGGGTACTCAACACCGCAACCCCAATGTTGGCGCTCTAAATTATCGCCATCCTCCTACTTCCATCAAAGTTCTCAGCCCTACATTCCTTCTACCCCGAATTTTTTGGCCTATTAGGACCAATGTCCGGGCCGCTCTCCGAAAGATTGACGGTAACCCGTGCCCCAAGGCTATCTCGGTCCCTAGCATGTGCCACCCAATCTAAGACAGCTACAAAGTTCCTGTTACCCTCAGATCGGCGTACAAGTCACTTTCTTACCCTCTATTGAATCTCATACCGCTCCATAATCATTCTACCATCATGAAGGTTTGGTTCCTCCCCAAGGTCACAGCTCGCCATTCCACGTCAATCCCTCGAACCTCGTAGCTTGGTGGGAGCGACACCTCTCACTCGCTACCGCTCTCTGTGGGCGGGCGAGGGTGCGTGGGTCGTCGCGTCATTAGGGTGCGCCTCATTGTCATCGCTGGTTAACGAATTTCTGCATGGTTCAGACAGAAAGTAAGTACCTCCTACTTCTTCTATGGCCCCAAGCCCCGCTAACTGTCCTCCTGCTCCCTACCCGGTTCTTTTCATCGCTTGTTTTTTTTCCCCTCCCTATTGGACTACCTCCTCCTCTAGTAGCTCGAATAGACGATAAACGCCATCTATATAGGTCATTTTGCGGCTTACTTCGCCCTTAATACCTCCCCACATGGTCTCGTCACTTACTAGTGGAATCCTCGGTCTAGTTTTTTTGCCGCACGCAAAATGCATAGCACTTCATATTCTTGTTCCTCCTCGAATGGCCCCATCTCTAGGAAGGCCCGATAGTATTTTTGGTATACCAAGGTTTCCTCAAAGCTTAGTCTAGCTAGTGCAGCTACCGCTTGCTCTACTCGTTTCACGCCTCCCAATCGTCCCTATAGGAAGGGCGACAGTCTCATTCGTACGATTTTGTTTGGCAGGGTGAAGGTTCCTGCCATGGCGGTTCTAACTTCAGCCGTCACGTCCTCCTTTTCTAGATCCGCAAACTCGAATCTCTCTCACCATGTTATCTGCTAGGCTCCTTCAAGCATTCACACGGGGTTGCCCCCGGAGGCCAAGGTGATCCCAAAGGTGTGTCACTCTTCTTCCGATAGGTACAATGATCCCGTGGCATGTACGCGCCCTGAAAGGTCCAAGTTCACGCCCCCGAATTCCCCTCTTGCACGCCATTCCAATTCCACCACTAGGTACACCATGTATTCCACCAATTCTACTCCCACCCAGTCCATTACTGGGTTGCTCACCCCATTCCTTGTCGACATACTTATCTCAACCTTGCCATCTAACTCGCTTGGCGGCAAGATCCCATAAGGTCTGTCCTCCTAAAACGTCATTCTTCGAGCTATCTCGCAGTGTCTCCCTTTTCGATTTCTTCCAGTCGACCACTGCATCCATCGAATTAGGCTTCCTAGATTCAGTCTTTTCGTCCTTGCAATGGTAATCTTCTTCCTATCGTATACCCCTTTCTGATCCCGGTTATTGTTCGTACTTATTATAATCTTTCCATACCCGCCTGTTGCAAGCGCCCTTCCTGTTTTAGGACCGCACTTCCAATTAGATCTTTAAGACTTCGAACAGTAGGAATATGTCGCCTGCATACGAGAGGGTTGTCGCCACCTCACGACGAAGTATTCCATCCTTTGTTCTATCGTTCACCTCAATCTGGTCGTCCTTAATAACTTTCAGGATGTCGACGACCTCTTTTGCTCCATTGCCATAGAAGGACCCTACTTATAGCGAGATCTTATAGTAGGCATCGACCAGCCACGAGGAGCCCAGGTCTACTTCGTCTAAGAATTCCTTCGCCTCGTAGATGTCTTCGTACCCACCGAACCAATCCGCCACAAAATGCGGCACCCAGATCTGGACTAACTGATACGGCAACCTAAGTTCCTCCCATCCTCCTATTACAACTCTGTTGTTTATTTCATCTCATCCTTCATTGGCAAAACCTTGGGCCATATTGGGAGTCCATTGCTCGGCTTCCCTCAAAATCCACTGTGGGTTTTGATCGGACGCTAGTGTTACACATAACAGATGTCGGCCCTTCTTTGATAGGTACACCGTCCCGAGGGACTCCACATACCCTTCGCCTACATTGTCCCATCCTTCTTCCTCTCTTAACGGGTTTCATATCCTTTCTAACCATAAAAATGATAGTTCCAATGCGATCTCCACTCCTACCAGTCACAGGTCGTTCCTCTCCACTCGTTTCTCGTTGGCAAGGTAATTTATATTCCTTTTCCGAGCCGCCTTTGTTTCCATCCCCTAAACATCCGATCGTTTAAACATTGTTCCCTAGCCATGTTGGTCCCCTGCACAGGGTCGACCACCCTTATCATTCTTGCCC